GTTTTGCACGATTTAACGCACTCTGAACAAAAAGGGCAAAGACGTTATATAAATGAGATGTTATCATCATTTCAAATGTTATGTAAGGGTGAAAAAAACGTGACACCAATTCACATGTTTTTATGTGTAGCCACCATATTACATAAAATATATTAGGGTGCGATGCTACATAAACGTGATAAAATGGCATCCTCTTGCGTCCAGAGTGTCTTTTTCCCCCACTTCATGATTCACATTTACCCCAAATTTTCTATTTCACATGTTTTCATGTTTGTGGAAGAATATCATCAATATACACGTAGATTTAATGTATGATCAATATAAACGTAGTTTTTTTTTTTTTTTTGCATCGCAAGTGATACACCGAAAGTTTCTAAATCACCCAATTCCGTTACAGTTGAGTTTTCACTCACATGCTACTTCAAATTTAATGTGTATCAAAACATTACCTGTCTATTTCAAAGAATTTTGACCATTGTTAGCGAAGCATTGAAAACACTTCATAGCATCCATGTTTATTGAGAAATGGCTTTTGGCATAGCCCAATAAAGAACTAGAGATCGGAGATCTCACACTTTCTCCAGATCAATGTTAACGTTGAGGATATTGGGCTGTAAGTCCGATGTTTAGGATGTAGAAGTGTATATGTTATTGGAGTAAAGACCATTATCTACTGCTAAGATCATTCTCGTAGGATAAAAACGGTGGGATGGGCTACCTTGCAGTAATACCATTATTGGGCCTCGAAGGGTGTGCATGGGGGTTTAGTCTATAACGAATTTATCCAGATGAGGGTGGGTTGTTTGGGTGATGATGGTAATGTGCTATTCTAGCAGCTCAAGCAAGACTTAGTTGTAGGATGTATTTATGACACAAATGACAGACTTTACCACCTACAGTCCTGCATGTAAATGTATCTTAGATTCTCTCTAAAATTGCAACACACTATTCTTCTTTTTCTGCTCACAAACACAAGAAGCGGAACTAGAAACCCGGCCAAATGCCCATTTTTAAACTTTTATTAATCCTACTCACCTACTAAATTTCATTATGACCCATTCGCGGCATCTCCAGTTATCCTGATCACGAATAAACTAGGAAACACAGAAGGTCCACTGCAATGACATAGAAACCCCCATAAAGCCCCTTTTTGGACCTGACATGTGTCTTCCCAACAGCACCCTGCCTACCAAAAATCATGAACATCTACCCATGGCTTGTCCACAGTTGATCCACCATAGTCAAACCGAAAACATAACCTTCTGGCGAAGGTAATAATGACTAAGACACCCAGTGTAGCCTCCAAAATCGTGTCCAATTACAACAGAGCGCAGATAGTCCCGCGAGTACGTAAACGTTGTCAGAATGGTCCATCCAATGCTATGCAACCTTACATTGAAAGTTGGTATTACAGATACTAGTCATATAGGATACAACAAGGTGTTTTCCGTGTCACCCGAGCGTAACGCTTCAGTGGGGTTTCGTAGGCTGCTGCCCACCCTGGAATGAAAGTCCTGCACGAAATTTGTGCAGATTCAATTATTTGTATCTTTATAACTTAGTCCTGTGTACTACAGGCAAGCCTTTTTAGAATTCTTTTTATTTCGTCTGATACATTGATTATTGTACAAAAATTCTATAAGTTGTCAGAAAGTCTGTTTTGCCCCAAAAGTAAGCCTTATTGTGGTGTATAGGCAAGATTCCCGCTCATACTCTATTACTCAACAAATCACTCTGTTAGATAGTCATTTCACAGTGGGCAGAAGCCCTTTTACCAGCCCAAATACTTTTTCACCAAAAAGTGTGTTTTTCAATTTTGTTGTTTTCATCTTTTAGCTACTTCTTGTTTGCATCCCCTAGCCAAATTTTGTTGAAAAAAGATAGATACATAAAACATTACTATGGTATAACTGCTAGCGTAGCCAAGCCAACCCCCTTGTCACATGCCTAGGTAGCGGAGGTCGTGTGGTGACCACACAAAACATGTCACGTTTTCTCACCTGTACATAATATTTCACCTGATAACATCTCACGTGTATATACTAATGTAACATTCTTGACCTATTTGCTCACAGTGCATTAAACCGTGCAAAACTAAACAAAGACACCTAAGTGTCTCCGCATTCTCAGACTGACACCCTTCAATTAAAATAATTACGCTCCAATTACAGATAATTGCGCAGTTCGAGCGGTAGTCCGCGGCTCCTGCGGTAGTTATTCTCCCATGCAAAGCGACAATATGTAGTTAGCGTTCCGTCGGCTATCTTAGTATTGCAACGGAGTAATACGACTACCGGCATGGGAGAATGCCGGTAGTCGCGATCGGCACCGTGCAAAGCATCGCCCGCAGTGCGGCGAGCGGCGCGGGTAGTCGGCACTGCAGGGGCGCGGGACTTCTGAGGTGGCGGCGTTAGTTAGAGTTGGTCCAGCAGACAGAACAGTTAAGCCGCTCCGGAGAAGGCTCCGGGAGCGGCAAAACCGCCTCCCGAATCCTGGTAGAGGCTAAGGCGAGTTATGCCGCCGAGGGACGGTTTTGCCGTCGAGGGACTTTGCCGGGGAGAGACGGTTACGCCGCCTAACAAGACCCTCGGCGGCAAAACAGTCCCTCCGCGGCATAACTCGCGTCGCTCCCCGACAAAAATTAACGCTGCCGCCTCAGAAGTCTGCGAATTCGAAGGAGGCTAGATGGGGCAGGTGGAGTCTATATTGGCCACCTGTATCCATTGGCGCGGCCTTCATTCTTTAGCTAAATTATCTTCCATACTACTATACCAGCATTCCATTCGTGTGGCGGCCAATGGTTACAGGAGGCCAATGAATACATGCGACCAATATAGACTTTCCTTGCCCAACAGAATCTGCTTGGAGATTAGGATACATCCACAACTTTTGGAAAAGTTGGGCTCCGAGAAACAATAGTCGATGATCACCAAGTTCTTCCAGCCGTGCAAAAAGCAAGAGAACTAAAAGGAGGTTAAAATTCAGATTTTAAACCTCCTTGTAAGAACAAGAACATTTGAATGTCCGGCGTCCCGCCACCAACATTACCGCATTGCATGACGGGATAGTGTTGGCAATGCTTCGATATCGAAGCCACCCTTTGTTTAAATTTGGTAGATAGAGGGGTACAAATGATACCAAATGGTGAAGTTTAAGATTGACATAAATTAGCCATCACCGTGTACATTAATTTATTATGTATCTTAACACATGTATACATGTCATTTGTGTAAAAAAAAACAGTTTGTTTTTCCCTTCCTTTTGCTGTATAATGATACATTCTTCTTTGCTTGGTTCCAAGCTATTCTCGGCACAGCGATTTCTTTGCAGTAAAAATGGATTTTCAATTTTAAAATCGTCGATAAAGAGAAATGATCACTCGAAAATCTAAGTAACATAATACACGTATATATGTCACGTGAAATGTACTCTTGTTGTACCGAGTCATTATAGACGTATTTCTAGACTAGAGGCATTTATCGCAATAGCCGTAATGTTTGTAAGTTATTACCTACTAGCTAGAAAATGTTCTTGTCGCAAGTTGAAAGATTAATGGGTCAAACGAAGATAACTTATTGGAAAATTACTTAGGTGTGTTCCCGTCTTAAGTTTATTAAGTTGTTTGTTGGGGATAGAAAAAAATTGAGAATTTCGAATTTATAAGATGAAAACCCTAAAGCCTCGGTCACAACCCGCCGTACGTGCTTTTTGTCCGTGCGTTTTTTGGGATGCTACGTCTGCTACGTTTTTCTCAAAACGTGGGGAAGGAGTGGCACCGACGCACGTCACTGGCACGGTTGCGCAAGGTGTAAGAGTGTGGTCTGCACGCTGCGTCTGGTCGTGAGCGGTTGCGTGCATCGTACGTTGCGCAAGTGGTAAGTGAGTTGTACGTGCTTACAACGTACGATCTCTGTGCGATTGCAACTTTACCGTAAGGAGGTCGTACTCACACGTGCGTCTTTCGTACGGTACGTACGGGGCACGCTCGTCGCCCGTACTCGCACGCACGGGTGGTGAATCCGCAGACCGCACGTAGAAAAAGTTTTACATGCACTTAAAGTTCTACGGTGTGTCTGCGTGCTCCCAAATCCGTAGGATTCCGTACAGAGGCGGTAGTCACCACGCACGGATGCTCTACGTTTCCCCGCGTTTTTTGCACGTAGACAGCACGCAAAAGCACGTACGGCGGGTTGTGACCGTAGCATAATTAAACAAGAGTTCCGAGATTTCAAACCTCCATGGCTTCACTTGTAAATGTAAATCCCATGGAGGTATGAGATCTCGGAACTCTTGTTATGCATTTCATTACGAGCGTGAAGTGCATTGATCAAAAGCGGCCTCTAGCATTTGACTGCAGGACTGCACCAATGTATTAGCAAGACCGCAGACGAAGGCCACTGTTTATTGACTGTTTGAAGCTTTCTGCACGGCGTTTGGTAAAATATCTGGACCTACGAAATACCGAAAGGTGAGGAAGCGTTTTTCGGGGAATATCTTCAAACAGTAACGTTTGCTAGTAACTTTTCATAGCCGGGCAAGCCGATCGTAAGCTTGCCGGAATTTCTCCGGTGATGAGAGTGGTGCACGCCCGTCAAGGCCTCCTGGGCAACCCGGTAAACGTAAAATATATAATCATGGTTAATGCTCAATGCCCTATTGAAAATTAACATTTTAGAAATATTCTTTTATGGCAAAATGATATTTAGAGTTAATATTAAGCTGTTTTTAACACGAAATTGTGATAGTTTGCAGGGACTACTTTGTTCAAGCGGTGTAGGACGGGTGTGTTGTTCGGCGCATGTGCGGGAAAGTCATACGGTAAAATAACCCGATTTTCAAACAAATAGACTAATCAGTGCACTGTATGTATTGGCTGCTGATTGACCAATAGGCATGTTCAATAGATTCTTAACCAAAGGTTGTTTTCTAATGTCTCTTCTGATTGGTTGAACTTAGTTCTGGCACACAATCAATTCGAAGCACTAATATTATTAGCTGCTAGGGGTCGCTCTTAAATAAACAACGTAAATTCGTATTGGTAATTTTACCACTGACAAGTACCATTGTAATCCGCTAGGCGGCATTTTTGACACGTGGCGAAAAATATGCGATACAGTCTGATAATCGACTGCACGGATGGCAGCCATTGAATTGTTTTCTGGACCGTACTGTGATGTTTGTTGGAGCAAAGTGGAGAAAGTATGCAATACAGGTAACTTTTATGAATTGAATGAATTTTATGAAGTTCTGAAGACTCTTGTCTTTCTACATATCCAAGGTATCTTTGTCTGGCGTCAGTTAAACTGCTAAAAATCCAAGGAGACGAGGCGAGGCTCGGTGTTGAGTTGATCTAGCCTTGGTACCTTTTTTCACGGGCCTAATTAATTGTGTTTCACGGGCAATTGCTGTAGGAATATGTCTTTTCCTTGCAGCCTATCTTTCTAGTCGGCCTTTCCGCTCACAGTCGTGCTAAAATTATCGAAACCAACCCCTTAAAAATGCCCCGACGTGCGTTAATGTACCCGGCGGGAGGGGAACACTCCCGGCGCCGTAGAGATGCCAGGGAGCTCCCTTGGCATGATTACCAGGCTAAAACCAAGGCGCCTCCTCTTAATACTCTATAATACAGACGCAGGGCAACTGAATTAGTCAAGACCAACATATTCTGTGCAAAGGGCCGACTTAAGAGGACGAGTTCCATGAAATTCATGGCGAAAAAGTCACCGCGTTGGAGGAGCTATGTCCTCGGGACCAGCGACAGACTTCGCCCGTGAAAAGTCCCGTAGCGTCCCCCGTAGCTGTTATACGTTGCTCGCATTCTTACTCTTAAACCAGGAAATTCAGGCTTAGATGGATTTTTTAAGTCCAAAACCAATTCCTCTAAGCCATAGGACTTTATTTTTATATTTACTCTGAAACCAACCCCGTGAAAGTTCCGGGCGTACGGAATAGCCCGGGCGGGAGGGCAGCACTCACAGCGCCGTAAACATACCGGGGAGCGGCCGATGGTCTGGCTATGTACAATGCATAGCTGAAAACCCGCTCGGGTAATACAAAGGAAGAAAACTGAGTTAATGACGACTGACATCTTTGGTACAAGTGCTCGACAAGTGTGATTTAAGGGGACATCTATGAGAGATACAATGTGTATTGGAGCATGGAGGTAGAAGTTTCAACGTTTCAACCTCCATGATTGGAGATTTTTTATTATTAAATCAATAAATGTGTATTATGAATAGCATTTAACAACTGCTTATATGATCTTTCTATATACAGTTAACGATATGATATCAGAAAAACAATAGCATGAATAGAACAGTCATCACTTTTTCTTATTTTCCTTAGGGTTGAATCGCATAACATGACATCGATTCAATGGCTCGAGAAGAAAAGATGGGGAAAACATCACCAAAGCATTCAGTCCAGGGAAACAGGTGGCAGATATGAGGTAAATTGGTCCTCTTTCCATGATTGAAGTTGAGGTTAAGTTATACAGGCATATGGTATGATATGATATATGATATGATAAATGTTAATATGATATGGTATGATATTCTACTTAAATATGATGATTGTACTAGTAATAGTATGATAGGATACAATTTCAGCAATGTTGACATGGTCAATACTGACATGACACGTGCATATGTAATGCTCAAACTAAATTAGCATTAATATTCATTATTTAATGTTCATTATTATTTGTCAGGAATTCAGCTGGACACTTGACTGGCACAAACATCCACCAAGAGACAAAACATGGTCCCCCTCCTGGCCTGGAAACTCCATCCTGATGTCGACTGCTTCTTGTCGATGCCTTCGAGATGGGATCCTGGTAGCATCCACCAGACTCCTTTGCAGGCTCAGAGGAGATCGGCCAAAAAAGGATGTTACTGACCAAGGGAGTTAGCTGGCCATTAAATGAGGGGCAGTGCAGCAGGCTAATTTCAAACAAAATTGAGTCTGATAAGGCTGATTACATACATACTGATTGCCTATACAATTTTGTTTTGTTTAAGTTTTGACAGAGATCGAATCCACAGTTTTATCATATATATGTGATGAAAGCTCCTTGGTTGTTTTGATATGAGATTTGTCTATTCTATTATTCATGACTTAAAGTTACAGTTAACTGCTGCCAACATGCAACAGAGCAATCAGTGTAATCAATGATGTGACAGAAAATAAAGTTTCGTGATGTGTGCTTCTTGTGTTTGTATGTTCAATGGGAAAATGAATGTTGACAAGTGTACTGGACTTGAACTTGAGACAGCATTAAAACTACAAAAAAGAGTTCCAAGACCTCATGATCATACCTCCATGAAATATGGGCTTGATATGTAAATGTAAATTTCTTAATTATGCAAATGACCTCTACATTAACATCAACAGCATATTAACATATGCTGGCTACAAATGTGCGGAAACACAAACACACAGACAGACAGACACACAGACAGACACGCCAAAAACAATACCTCCATTTTTCATGGAGGTAATTATCGTAATTTTCAGGCCCACGTGTGTGATGATTGCTTATTGGCCAGTTGCTAATCTTTTGTTAATTTCATTATCAAATTCAAATTTTACTCAATTCAGGTGGCACCTGTGCGTGAAACACACCGTTCCAAGATGGCGAGTGTGCATGGAAGTGGAGAATGAGCTGGTAAAAAATCCGCCCAGGAATACGCGCCACGTCCGCTTTGGTGGTACGTTGTATTCTATATTGTCGTAGATATTTTCCGGACTACATTGTGATAAATCTCCACTAAGTTAAATGAAGCAAAAAGACAGAATTTCGTAAAGAGGTTTCGGTAACTGGCCCCCACGAGTTATCTCTGCACTATGTTAAGCAACCGCTGAGGGGCGCATTTGTTTGGTTCAGTGAATATTTATCTGCAGTACATAAGTATGGAGGATGAAAAGGCACCTTAGCCACCAATTCTTTGAACGTGGGTCAATCAGTCACTAGTACTATTCAATGAGAATGAAATCAATGATCCTGAAATTTAAAAAAATTGATTTGAATTATTTCTGTTTAATGATGTTCACCTTCACTTAACTTCCAAATGCAGTAGGTTTGAAATTCTGATCATTGTTATTATGGAATTATAGCATTTCCATTAATTATGCAAATTAGGTCTTAGACGTTTTACTTAAATTGTTAAACTGTATTGTATAAGTTGGATCACTAGAGATTGCCAAAGTCCCCCCGAAAAAAAGAAAAAGAAAAAAAATAATCCCTACTTATCGACCCTAATTTTTTCAGGACTGAAACAGGAAACAACATTTTTCCCTAGGCCTAGCAAGAAAATATGATTTGATCTTGTCTTGTTGTTGGGATAAGTGACAGGAGGTTTGGTGGAACAGAGGTGGTGATGGCTGGTGCATGATAACTTGGTGGTCGTAGTCTCAAATAGTTGCAGGGGTCGAAATACCCCTCTGTGTGCAAGTTGGTGCAGGTAAAATTGGTGCCGTGCGACTAATTTTTTACCGGTGTGCACCGGTGCAAGTATAGCCTGGGTGCCATCCGAATTTGTAACGGCTACCCCGATTTTTTGGGGGTAGCCGTTACAAATTCGGATGGCACCCAGGCTAGTGCAAGTAAGCGTTAGGCATTACCACACTGACTCACTACTCATAGAAATACCTAATGAGGAACTGAAAGGGTAACAAAACCAGAATCCAGGGAGTTTTTCTTCATCTTTTGAATGATTAATAGAAGGTTACTATCAAAGTCACTGCTATGGTTAGTTTATCCCCACAACAGTGTAAGCAAATATTGGATACTGTACCTATTATTTTTGGGGGGTGCAACTATTTTTTTTTTTTGTGCAAGTAAATTTTTTTTCCATCTGCACCAGTGCAAGTTGACCCCAAAATCTATTTCGAGTTGCAAGTCTATCTCATCCAATCTTGTGCAGCACATCTGTGTAAGGTGTCTGTGGTGCTGTGCCTGTAACAAAGCGGGTTGCATGATATTTTACTTGCTACTAATAGTAAACATATTGATGTTATTTTGTAGTAAGGAATATTTGCTGTGATTGGATGGCGTTCAGCACCAAGGACAGATATTGTACGATCTAGCTATGGTGACCAGGGACAAGACTGTTTGACTATTTATGGCTAAATGTGTTCAGGAACAGGAATGTTTGGGTTAATATGTGTGGATGGCGTTCAGCACCAAGGACAGGCATTGCACTACTAATTGTTAACTAGTTAACTCAATAACTGTTTACATTTTTGACATGTCCATAATAAATTATTTCCCTTCCATGAGAGTGTTGGCATCAATATTCTATCGAGTTGCACGTCACAGTTTCTGTTTAAACGTGACAAACAAAGAAAAAATTACAAAATGCGTGCTTCCATGGTGAAATGATCGCATTATTTTTATTCAAATGATCAGCTGAGGACCAACAGGTGGGAACTACCCATGAGGCCATGGGAACACAGAAGTTCCAAGATGGCGGCTGAACATGGAGCGGGAGAAATTTCTGCTGAAACTTCGTCCCTAGAAGACAACAAAACGTCTGTTTTAGGAGATGAGTAGTACGTAACGTTGTTCTCTGTATCCTTGTGACCACTTTTGAACAGTCTTGTGTGGAAAGACGCCGTAACAACACAGAAATATGCCCGAGTTTTCTAAGCATTGCGGCGTGGCATACACGAGGGCGCACATGGCATGAGCTAGAAAGGTTTGCATAATCAGAAATAATTTAGTCCAAAGACATCACGAGTTTCGTTTAACTCCGTCCAGTTTGAGTTGTATCAAGGAGCTTTATATTCCTTAGTTACAACTTACATTTCACGCAACAAACGTAACAGTATTTTGGGAAAGTTTTACCGAATAATAGTTTATATGATACCCATTTTTTTTCGCATTTGGTGCACCTAGACATTTTAGGACTCCTAGTATTCAAAACACGCATAACATTTAAGTTTCAGAAAAATTATGAGTCCTGTCATGTATTTATATTTTTTTAATCTTTCAAGATTTTTAACTTGGCAAATACATAGTATAGAACTTCAGACTGAAGTTTTGAAGACTGAAACTTGAAAGGTAAAATGCAATTTTGTTGAAATTCTACTTAATTTTATGCTTTGCACCCTAACCTTTTCCTATCATGTATCATGAATGTTCTGTCAAATCATGTGTTAACTTGTTGTTTGTATTCTTCAGTGGATGAGTCATGAACTGACAAGAAGAATTTGCAGGGAAGCTAAAACTGGTCTTAGACACAGGCAAGTCAACACAATGTTAGGTAGGTACAAGATTCACACTTGGTCTGGTGTACAAACTTGTTTCTCGACTTCATTTCTCATCTTTTTCAAGGTTCAGCATGTTAACATTCTGCATGATATCTGTTGCCTTTAGTTGTGAGTCTAATTCAGAGAAATACAAATTTGAAGATCCACTTTTACTTTGAAGAAAGCAGGGGATTAAATCTTTCTTTCAGTGAGATGGATTCTGTTGATGGGAAGTTATGGAAAGTGTTCAGAATTATCATGTAATTTACACTTATACATCTGCCTGTCATTTTGTGTATGAATGTTTTTATAGAGATAATCTTAGACACATTCTTGGCTTTTCTCTACACGTTATGCCCATTTGTGCAAATGGGTTTCAGAACTTCACAAACACTGTTTATGTCAGTGTGAATTAGTTACCAATGAATGTTTTGACCTCTTCAGCCTTATATATAAGGGCAGAACCGCCTCTGGAACTAGGCTCTCTCTGTATCTGTATCTGTATTGCATGATAGCCAGTATAACCGCCTTTTAGCGTAACACACCAGCTTCGCAGGCACGCGGCGCAGCTGGCTATATTATGCCGATCGACTTGTTACACCTAACCTTTGAACTTCTAACTCTAGACATTGTTTAAAGCTATCTAATGACAATGCCCGCACTGTACTTGGTGACAGTAAGTTCCACTCTGCAATACTTCTAGGAAAAAATGAATTCTTGAACACCTCAATCCTTGGTTGATTACTCTGGTACTTGAAGGCATGGCTATTTCTTGTTCTCTTCTGGGCTGGTATTAGGTACCGTACTTAGTAGTTGGGACGTCCGCCAGTTTATTAGTCATTTTTTACATCATGCATAATCTGGACATTTTTCTCCTGTCTTCCAGTGAGACCCACTGTAGATTTCTTTTAATTTCCGTGACACGAGCACCTCTCTCGTTAAGAGAACCGCCTCCTCCTACCTGGTCGTGCCCTAGAGAGAGACCGAGGCGCACCTGGACGGACCTGCTGTCCACTGACCTCCAGGCCGCAGAACTGGACATGTCAGGGTGGCAGCCAGAGACAGGCAGACTACTGACCAGTGGAGGGCCGTATGCAGAGGCGCTACACCCCCTGGAGGGACATGCAGAGCTGAGTGAGTGAATGTTTTGACTGTTTTATGCATCATGATCATATACTGTGTGGATTTCATAAACTGAATAATGATTCTTTTTCCATACTTTTCTAATAGTATATTAGGTAGGAGGGATGAGTGTACATGTATAATTTATACACATTTCATTTGGATGTACATCATTATATGGATAGTGGAGTTTCTGTTATAGACATGGATTTGTTTGGTTGTATTTCAATGATCTTGCATGTATTTTGTCATTTTGCCTTTTCAAGAAATTCAGATTGTCAAACTGCATCGTTTCCTTACTGGTCCAAACTAAAGTTTTTCAAGCCGGGTTCATATATTGAGTTTGCTGGCTATGATAGTATGATGTTTCTGTAGCTGGGAATATTCTGTCAACTCTAACTTGTCATATGAATTGTTTTGATGACAATGATATGTTATGTGAGGTGACTTTTTATGTGATTGTTGTTTGGTTAAGATATGTGAATATTACAACGCATTATGTATCTTGTTTATCCATTTCATCCATGTTTTGTGACATTGTGTTTGTAACTTTGGCATGTGATTTATCTGAATGTGTATTTCTTTTACACCCTAGGTTTGGGAGGCTGATGCTGTGCACCTGACCAGGTGGGACCTGTCCATGCTCCTGTGTGTGCTGTGGGACCTGCAGACTATCCTGTGTTCCTGTCCACATTCCTGGAGATCCTATGTTGAGAAGTTGATGCCATGTAAATTTGGCCTGTGATTTTTCT